TGAGTATTCATATTATGGTCAGATGATGAATAAAAGCTGTTGGAAAGCTGTCTGATCCAGAAGCTATGACTTCTGATGCGATTAAAGAATTCCATAAGAAAAAAATATGAAACGCGAATCGAAGCGTCAGTTCGAAACTTGCTAATGCAATAATGCAACCTGTAGCATCATGTTGTACTGAGTAAAGCGATCGTTTGGTTTCTCTTTTTGTACTTGCAATTTACCAAGACACGTGTAACACGGCACCAGTGCACGTGTAAAATTCGCAAGGCCAGTTGTTACTCGCACAAGAAAGTGGTGCAATTAAGAAAAATGATTTTTTTGTTGTTAAAACCGTTAACCACGGCCAGTCACTCGTGCAATTAGTAATTTGCATGCCAACTGAAACAAATCGGTGCAACAAATAACGTTTATTTCTACTTGAACATAAGCACAAACTTTACATACCAGAATTCTGCGTCTTTTTCCGCAATATCATATTTTTTAACCGTTGCACATTTAAAGGCGAATTAGGCATTTCGTTTTCACCTTTCGCGTTAGAAGAACCTTTCACCGCCTTTTGGCTACCGCAATCGGAATCTAAACAAGTGACAATCATTAAAATATTAAACAACGACGATCATCAATACAGCTTTGAAATTTCAGTAGCTTGCATTCACAACATCTGAGGATCAACATAAAACAGTTGCTAGATATTGAAAATTGTACAGGTTCCTTAACAGAAGAATTCGACGAACTTTATGAGATTTCGTACAGCAATTAAATACCGGCTATATCAAAATATAATCTCAGCTAAAAACCTGGTTAAGCGTTGCACTTGTGTCACAGGAAGCTTAAATACTGCATCCAGCCACAAATTTTGCGCATCCTACTAAGTCAACGAAAAAGTGACTATTAAGCATAACCAAGTTTCACTGAATGTCGCTAATAGGTCGACCATCGGTATATTTATAAACAGAAGGATCGCCCTAGCCGCGAATGCTTTCGGAAACCTGTCCTACATAAAGCCTGAGAAAGAAGTATCTCTTTCCACGAAAATCTGACCGTACCCTGCTTCTGTCAAGCCAGTGTTGTTGTACGCTATGGAGACAGCTGTTCTAAAAAGGCGATGCAGCTGATAGCTAAACAGCAGGACCAGGTCAGGAATGACCCTTCTGTTCCGAGTACAAATGACCTCACAGTAGATCTGGAGATTAAGCAAAAGAAATTGGCCCTATTAAGCAAACTGGTTAAGCACACATCATTTACCAGTGAGCTTCTCGTGTGGAACCCAGTAAGCAACATGGAGGAACAACATAAAAGAAAATCTGCTTTCAGAGAGAAACATCCTTCAGCAACGTAGTAACCGATGCCTCAGAATAAAAGTGTTAGAAAATTGCGAATACAGCGAACATTGCAAGTCAAACACGTTCTGCTTACCAGACGGCTCAACGTAAGGCGACGACCTCACCATCACACAACAACACGTCATAGATCAGCCGTTGTAGATTATTTTAGCACCACGATTATTTACAAATTTTTTAACTTGCGAATATTGGCTAAAAAAAACAGCATGCTTTCGTGATATTCGCCAAGCAGTCAATTTTCGTTTTGTTCAGTATTCAATATTTCATAATGCCATAATGGAAGATGCTTCATGATAATTTCAACACCCAAATGTACACAGAGTATAACAGCAAGACACTTATTAAGCAATGCCCATAAGAGACGACATTTTAAGGCAAGAGGACTCATGCACGAACAAATTATACGGGGTACCATTGATTTTCCGCACAGCTCAGTCCTTGCTTTCGAAATGATGAAGATTTCTTGTGTAGGGAAACCTAGCGAGCTTTCCTGAGGGGCAACTTTACATATGCACTTTACAGTACAGATCATCGACAGTAGAAAACGCAAAGTTACTAGACACGTGTAGGCTACGCGATAATGTGCATCTCAGCAGATCCACGCATCTGCCCATAAAAATATGGAAAAAAAAGTTGAAACAACGAATGACTAACAGTTTTCGCCCATACTCAGCTAGTTTAAAACGAAGAACTCAATATAGCTAATTGTTTCGATAATCATGATAACATACCGCTTGACCTGACACTCTAAACACATCTTTCCCAAAAATTCTTACCCTTCTGTATACAAAAATTTTAAAAAAGATGCTTTTCAGTTTACGTCACTGATATTGCATACGTTAAACAATAACTTAGTGCAAATACCTCTGCCATCTTCGTCGTCCTGATGATCATGGCCTACAATATCATTCTCATAACGAAGAGCACGAAAATGACGACAAAGATTATGATCATTATCAAAAAGAAAAAATAGTGCATATAATCTACATGGTAAGGGTAAATTAATCTTCGCAACAGCTGGAAAGTATACGCAGTAAATCACATGATTTCCCTAGCCTTATCAATTTTCTCAAAGCGAAGCGATTCTATCACCAATTTAAAAAAATGAAGCATGCAGATAGATAGTCAGTAACGGAATTATAACGCAACATCAAAGCTGAGTCACAAAACTTCACAAGCGCTTACAAGCTTACCTTTGCTTCTGGCAGAATCAGGACTGCGAGGAGAAGCCAGCGCATTCTCTGGCCCATTACGGCAAGATACAGGGATTTCTGAGTCGTAAAATCGCGATGGCGGATGTCGAGAACTCATCATCTGAAAATCAAACTTTACATAACGGGAAAAAGACTACTTTGACGTAAAATTAGATAACGATGATTTAGATTTACACCATGCAGGTTATTTAAACTATACGTACTAAAAGTAATTACCAGACTATGCCTAACGGTTTCTGCTTTGCTTTTGGCTGCACTAACGTCGAGCAACTCCGTTGACGGTACCCCAAAACCGGACAAGTTAGAAGGTCCAGAACGAGGTTCAATCACAACCGTAGTTTTGTGCACGTCAGAAGACGCAACAGCCTTTTCATGGCTGGAGAAACATGCTAAAAGAAATCGTCAGAGGTTAACAAGAATGTCGTTAGCAATGTGAAAGTAATGCGAATGCATCGAGTACACCGAGCCGGTTTTGTATGGAACTTTTAACGCAATCCACTACATATAACAATACGACAAAGAAAACGGTTTTCAACAAGTACACAAAGGACATAGGCAAGACGTAAACGCGAAAGATTAGAGTTGATGAACAAAACATTAATTCTTAATCCTCACTGGACTGTCGAAACAGTGCAAAAGCCTACACTATGGCCAATTTTATGTGACCGGTAGCAAGAACTGAGGAAAACTGTTCAAGTTCAGGTATCCCCTATGTTATTAGACATCGATAGATCCTAAAAGAACAAAGGAAGCTCTAAAAAATTCTAACGTAATTCAGAAAAATGGATATTAAACGATTGCCAATTTTTGTTCCTTTTTTAACTTCAAGTTGCTCCTTGTCTTACAGCTTTACTTTTACACCTTTTTTCATGTAGACTAACAATAAACTGAATAT